AATATGAACTATTAATCCTGGCAGTTTCCTCTCTTTGTGTCCTTAGGTGCTTATTTATCTTTGTTTACCAGACCATAATAGTGCACACCAGTTGAATATATACTGTAAAAAAAACAAAAACAAAAAAAAAAAAAAACAACCATGTGCAGTATTTCTAAAATGAAAACTTAGCAAAACTCTCAGTCACCTGCCTCCATAAATCCACAGTGAACTGAAAAGGTAGGTCCTAAGTGTTCCTGTTAGAGACAGAAAGGGAGCCAGTGAAGTGGGAGAGGGAGAGGTGTTCTTTACCTGAGCTGTAGCAACTCACCTATATGTATATCAAGGCATCTTGATATATTCATTAAACATATACACTTTTAATTTGTTGAGTTTGCCTCAAAAAACATCTAAAGAATTTAAAATAATAGGAGTGAAGATGAGAATTCTTTTATTATCTTTGCAACTTTCTGTTAAAACTATCCTAAAGGAAACTAATTATTTGCACATAAAACCATTCATCATAAAATAGTGTTTGCCACCCATGAAACATTCCATGAATGCTGTATTTAGAATAATCATGTTTTAAAAACCATTGCTTATGTATGTTTAAAGAGCATATAGATATGGCCTCTAGAGGGCAGTGTTGGGTCATGGAAAGGAGTCTGCAATTTCAGAATTGACTAAGAAACATTTAAAATTAACAATTAAAAATTGTGTGCATATGCTTATGTGTGTATATGATGTGTGTAGGTACACACAGGTATGCAACAGTGGACATGTGAAGGTCAGAGGATAACTATGTGGAGTCTGTTCTCTTTTCCCACTTTTCCTTGGGTTCTGGGTTTGAACTCAGGTCACCAGCCTTGTGCAGAAAATGCCTTTACTCCCAGAGCCTCTCACCAGCCCCTTTCTTCCTCTAAGTCACAAGATTTCTGTTTATATTCATTACCCTTTCTCCTTCTGTAAAGAAAAGTTACGTTAGGCATGATGACAGACACTTACAATCCCAGCACTGGAGATAGTGGATCAGGAGGATTAAGAATTTTAAGGCCAATCCAGGTAACATAGCAAGACTCTGTCTTAAAAAAAAAAAAAAAAAAAAAAAAGTAAAGAAAAACTTTCTGCCTTTTTGCTGTTCTGATTGATTGGAGCTTGTCTTTAACATACACTAGTGTGGTAGCTGGGATAACAGTGGTCCCAATAGGTTCATATATGTGCACCCTAAGTTCCTGGGGAGTAGAACTGTGTGGAAGGGTTAGAGGATTAGGAGGGGTGGTCTTGTTGGAGGAAGTGTGTCACTGAGGGTGACATGGAACCCCAGAGTCTCTTTTTCTCTGCCTGTGGCTCATGATGTTGCCTTCAGCTGCTGCTCCAGCACTTGCCTGTGTGCCATGCTCCCCCCCATGATGATCTTGAACTAACCTCTGAAGCTGTAAGCAGGTCCTCAATTAAATGATTTCTTTTAAGAGTTGCTGTGGTCATGGTGTTTCTTCACAGCAATAGACCACTAATTAAGACAATTTAAAAACCTAAAAAAACAAACAAACAAAAAAAAAAAACCTCAATATTATTTGTGAGTCAAAAGCCACATGTAGAGTTTTGACCTTGCTGTTCTCATCACTGAGGGCTTACGAGTGATGAGGGAAATAGCATAAGGCACATATTATATGTCATTTGTCAGTTCTCATATGATTGAAGTGGAGTTACAGAGCTGAACTTTGAAATACTAAAATCAGGTTAATGAAGATTTTTATAAGATAAAAAGAGGCTTTGATTTTGTAAAGGTAAATATTGCCTACTCTGTAGCTGTCCAGGGAACAAAGAAGTACTAAGGGATGTGACAGATGACTGTCCTACTCTGGAACAATTTCTGAAGGAAGAAAGTTGGAAGCTCAACCTTTTAATTTTAATATTTTCACTGTGGGTCAGTGGGCTGGTTCAGTTGGTAAGCTGCTCATTGCCAAGACCTGAGTTCCACACTGTGGAAGGAGAAAACTGACTCCTGCAAATTGTCCTTTGAACACCCACACTCACATATGTACATAATAAGTAAATGTAAAAAAAAGTTTATTGCTCTATAAATGATCTCATGAGATTGATTTTTATTTTGTTGAAATTATAATTATATCATTTCTCCTTCCCTTTCTTCTCTCTAAAGTTTAAACCCTCCCATTTACCCAATTTCTTGCTCTCTTTTAAGTTTATGACCTCTTTGTCTTTGTTGTTACATATATGCATTCTTAAAAATATAAACACAACCTGATCAGTGCATACAATGTTACTTGTATGTATATTGCCAGGGCTGACCATTTGGTATTGAATAACCAATCTGAATGCTCTTCCCTGGGAAAACCAGCATTCCTTAGTTGCCTGTATGGATTCCCCTTCCCCAACTCCTCCCAGATCCTCCTTACCTCCTCTCTCACCCGAATCCACAATCCTTTCTTTCTCTCTCCCATTAGAAAATAAATAGGCATCTAAAACTGATAATAAAAACACAAAATCAGAAACTATAATAAATATGCAAAAGACTTGTAAGGTTAAAGAAAAAATAAGAACCTCCAAAAGTGCCCTTGAGTTTGTTTTGTATTGCCATCTACTGCTGGGCATGTCACCTGCCTTAAAAGTGAGCTGCATCTCCACTAAACAAAACTCATTTCTCAGTTTGACTGACTACCCGTTGGAGATAGTGTCTGGGTTAGGGATGGGGGCTTGTGTTCACTCCGCCTCTTAACACAAGACCCCATCTGGTCCAGGCGCATGCAGGCCCTGTGTGTGATGCCACAGCATCTGTGAGTTCGTGTGTGCATTGGTCCTGCTGTGTTTAGAGAGTCTTGTTTCTTTGGTGTTTTCCATCCTTGTGGCTCTTATACTCTTTCTGCCTTCTCTGTAGAAGGGTTCCATGAGCTCTGAGGGGAGGGATTTCATGGAGACATCCCATTTAGAACAACGTATTCCAAGGTCTCTTAGTCTCTGCACATTGTCTCCATGTTTGTTCCCATCTATTACAGAAGGTGCTTCTCTGATGAAGGCTGAACAAGACACTGAGCCATGAGCATAGCAGACTGTCCTTAGGTGTTTGGAGTGCTTTGTCTAGGGCCAAAGTTTCCTGAACGTTAACCCTTCCACATTAGCATGTCTCTTGGTGTTGTCCTTGTTCAGGTCATGTTTAGGCAGCCCTGTTGGTGAGACTTCTTGAGCGTAGAGTCTCTGAACTTTCTAGAAGATACAGGAGATTGACTTTTACAATATCTGCCCTTAGGATTAAATCCCAGAGTCCATAAACACTGTGTCATTGAGCTGCACCTGTGTCCAGGTATTTAATTTTTAAGGCTCTGTGTGCTGGGAGTTGCAGACTGTTTCCCAAGTATAACATAGCTACATTAACATGAATTGTCAAAATGATCACCTCAGATCTTAGAGGAAGCTGAAGAAATTGTTCACATCATGATAGGTACAGCAATTCTGAAACATGATGTCCCTAGACAGGCTTGATTCTCTCTGATAATGAAATCTTCAGACTCTGCTCACACAAGGTATGAATCTCATATGATTTGAAAATAGTTGTCATTTGGATGACAGTGCATCCACTTAATAGCAATGTATAGATTTAATTTTTGTTGAAACTATAAATCTCTTAAAAACCTCATCTGTTGAATTGGGATCTACGAGCCTTTTAATAGGACTTTTGAAAAGAGAGTACAAAATTTATAGCCCCTTATAGATTGCCTGACATGGAAATTAAGGTCAGTAGAGCTTTTGTTCAGTCAGTCTGTCATAGTTGAACTGCAGGCAAAAAGACCTGTTTCATTCTCATCCTATAATGCTAGGTACCAAAAGCTCTCATCTTTAGAATAGTATCTCTAAACTTAGGATTGGAAGAAAAAAAGTCTATTATTCAGGTAAGTATTTCCAAGAATGATTTGAGATGTAGGTTGGTCCTTTAGATGTTGACTGGCTGAAATCTGATTTCATTCAGTGTTCTTCATTTCAAGGAAAGCGTGCATGTGTGCAAGTTGGAATCTGGTGTCATCCTAGACTCCTGCCCTCCTTATCCATAATGAGTGAGTGTAGTCATCCCTGTCGAGTCTTCTTAAAGGTCTGCTGGATCATACATTTACTCTCTCATGGCCAGTGTTCCGGTCTGCACCATCATCCTATATTTGAAGAAGCCACTTCACCCACAACAGTGACCTTTCCAAACACACCCCCAAGAGACCATCAGTGAGTTCACACTCTTCTCAGGATAACAGGGAGTGGAAGAACTGCCCTTGCTGGGGTCTGTGCTCCAGTGTCACAGTCTCCTCTTGTCCTGGAGGACCAGATCATACACCACTTTGTCAGTGACTTTCCCTGATAACTGGATCAGGGAAGTTCCCTGTGCTCTGTGCTCCTCTAGACCCACACTCCTTACTCATCATGATTGCATATATTTAGAATTAGACATTCAAGCCAGGCCTACTGGTTCATGTTTGACACGCTTTCATTCGGGAGGCTGAAGCAGGAGGATCCCTGCAAGTTTTAGGTTACCCAATATAATAAGACGCTGCCTTTAAAAATACATTGGAGAGGTAAGGATTTAGCTCAGTGGTGGAGAGCTTGCCTAGCAAGCGCAAGGCCCTAAGTTCGGTCCTTGGCTCTGGAAAAAAAACCCAAACCAAACCAAAAATACATTGGTTGCTTGGTAGTGTGTTCACTGTGTGCATGCATGCCCACACCAGAGTTTAACTTTCAGTGAATCCACTGTGATGCAGTTACACACCTTGCCTGTTCATATAGGTGCTGGGGATTGAATTCAGATCCCCCTGGTGGCATGGCAAGCACAGAGCTATCTCCCAGCTGCTAGTGTTGTGGTATTTTGAATTATGTGTATCTCCTAGCAGAAAACAAGCTCCATGAGCAGGATTTATACCTTTATTCTCATCATCAAATTCCAACATCTGGCTCAGCATTTGAAAAAATAAAGTAGTTGTTCAGTATATTTGTTGAATGACTAAATGGCTGTTTTTAACGTTTAGATAGAGGAAGAAGAACCCACTGGATACATTCGATTTGAAAAATTTCTTCCAGTAATGACCAAAACGCTTCTGGAAAGAAAGTAAGGCGATGACTCCATCTTTACAGCAGATAATGCCTAGAAGGACACCAATTTCAAAGCATTCCTCTTGGCCACGTGTGCTGCCCCATACCTGTGATTCTAGTGCTTGGGCTGAAGCATGCAGACTGCAACAAATTTGAGGGTAGCCTTAGTTGCATAGTTCCAAGCCAGCCTGGGCTAAAAAGTAAGACCCTACCACAAAACAAAACAAAACAAAACAAAACAAAACAAAACAAAAGCACTTAGCTTTTGATATTTTATTTACCCAGTGTATATCTTAGAGTAGCTTCCTCTAGCCTTTCAGTGTACTTCAGGTCGGCTTAGGGATACGCTTAGAAATATCAACCATGCTAGTGTTTATTAATCTAAGGAAGGCATAATTAAAAGGCAAAGGAGCTACAAAAAGAGCAATATTGTAGTTATATTTAATTGTGAATTATCATCTTAAAATAAAAATGAACACCAGTTATTTTTCTAGCATTAGTATAGTATTAGCACACCACAGTTGACTGAGTGTTTTGTCCTAGACAAATTTATTTTCATGTCAGTGAAAAAAAATGCTAATAGGTGATACTGAACATTCCTATGAAGTAGGTACTGCTGACTTTCATATTCAGAAATCCAAAGAAATTTCATCAAGGGAAATGCCATTAGCCTAGGATAGTAGCAGCTCTTATTTTGTTATTATGCAGTCATCTATCATGTAGAGACCAAGAAAATATGCTGGTGTTAACTGACTTTACTGTAAAATTACAGATACAGACCCATTTCTGAAGATGTCCTTTTACAAGCTTTTGAGGTGGGTGAGCTCTACATTATTATAAATTAATTCATCATGTAGAATTTATTCAACAAGGAAAATATATGCTATCTCCTTTGCCCAGGTTTTGGATACAGCTAAACGTGGGTTTCTGACTAAGGATGAACTCATCAAGTACATGACTGAGGAAGGTCAGAGGGCTCGATTTCTTGTGAGAGTAATTTAAAGATGTTTATTTTATTTTCAGTTACGTGGCTGCATACATGTGTCTGTGTCTCTGTGCGTGTGAGTGCAGTGCTCGTGGAGGCCAGAAACATGGGGTCCCCCTGTAGCTGGGGTTACATGGGAATTGAACTCAGGTTCTCTGCAAAAGCAGTGCATGGTTTTAACTGCTGAGCCATTTTTATAGCCTGATTAATAAGTTTTTAATAGTTATGCAAAATTTATAAAAGGTGATACTTTAGAAACAGTTGTTTGGCTAAGTAGTTTTTTAAATTATTCCTATTATTTTGGTTTGTTTTTATATTTGATTTTATGATAGAATGGTAATGATTACTTGTGTAAATTGTGTTTACTTTATTTACTTAAAATATCTCCTAAATAAAAGACATGCCATTTAAAGAACATGAACTGTCAATCATAAACCAATGCCTATTTAGATAGAAGATTTGAATTAAAGTATATAAAAATTTCTTTTAAAAGGCCTTCTTAAGTGGTAAAGTTGCAAACAATATAGCCAAAATCGAATTCACACAAAACTATATTTTCTTATGGTAATGGGACCTCCTCCCACAAATACATACATATTTTCTTTCAATTTTCTCTTTTTAGGTCAGGACATACATGTGTGTCCCCTGAGTGTAAGCAGCGTGAGGAACAGTCATTAAAGCCATTGTCATCTCCCTTTCCCCCATAGTCAGGGATGGGTTTTGCTTTCTCTGCCCAGCTCCGGGGTGCTTGGCTGTCCTGAGTGGCGCGGCAGTCACGTGCCACTTGAGGACGTGGACATGCACATCATTCTGAACAAGGAGGCTGGTACTGGGAGGTTCAAGTACACCTGGTTTGGCCATTTTGACTCAGTTCACCATTAGGAAAGAGGAAGTGAGAGAAAGAATACTGTGAAACTCATAGTTGCCACCCAGGAGCCCTACAGTGTCAGACTCATCTAAGCAATGAGAGTTAATGAGAGTGTTATGACTTTCAAATCCTAAGGGTGAACGCAAGTAAACCCTAAATCATATAGGACCACATGAAATTAATAAAAACAGCCAAAGAGAGTTAAGTCCCTCCAACTGTGCGCCTGTTGTCTGTTTAGTATTGTTATAGCACAGTGGGTGGGCATGATACCAGGATCTGATCCTTTTCTTGAGCATATTACAGTCTTACTGGGAAGCAAAGCTAACTTGTGAAATAGATCAATCTGAGACATTAGAAAAATAACTATGAGAAGATCAATGCAAGCTGAAACCAGCCGGGGAAACAGCCTGGGAAGTCTGACAGAGAAAATAGCATCCTCGAGAAGGTGGATTTATTTGTTTGCTTTTTTGAGACAAGGTTCTGCTCTCTAACCCAGATGAATCTGGTATTTACTATGTAGCCCAGGATGGCAGTAAACTCAAGGCAGTTCTCCTGCTTCAGCCTCCAAGATGTGATTACAGATGGGAGCTGCCATGCTTGGCTTTGGAAGATAGGATGAATCATTGAGGGCAGGCATAATATGACTTTATATCTTACAGTACTCACACATATAATAAATATCAACATGTGTATTGTAGCAGATGAGCTACGAATAAACGAATGAGTAGTTGAGTGAAGACAGATGAAGGGCTGGTTCTAGGGAAATGGATAAAGCAGTAAGAACAAGGAAGGAGGCAGCCAGGCGTGTGGAAGAAGATGAGCCCAGTCAGTCCTGAGGGTCTTGTTGGCCAACCCTAAATTATATTGGGTCACATGAAATTAGTAAAAACAGCCAAAGAGAGTTCAGGAAAGGAAAGTTCAGTCCAAGGGAAGGAAAGAAGGTAGATTTATTGGGGCTAAATTATAGAGGCCTGCTCCTGGGTAGAGAAGAACGGTTGGACTCTATCATAGGGCCGTGTGACTAGAAGTGGGCAGGGGACAAACATGAGTATAAAGTAACTCCAAGACTTGCCCTGGACTGTGGATGCCATCATGATAGTAATGCTGCTGATTGAAACAGTGAAGTCAGGTACTGGCTGCGCTGTGTGTGGGGACAGCAAGGCCGTGTGGCTCGCAGGAAGTGCTTTACGAGAACTTACAGAAAGTTATGTCTTAGCTGGGATTTCTGTTGCTGTCAAGAGACACCATGACAATGGCAACTCCTATAAAGGAGAACATTTAATTGGGGCTGGCTTACAGTTCAGAGGTTTCGTTCATTGTCATCATGGCAGGAAACATGGTGGCATGCAGGCAGACTTGGTGCTGGAGACGGAGCTGAGAGTTCTGCATTTTGATCTGAAGGCAGAAGAAAGAGAATAAGATACACTGGCCCAACTTGAGCATCTGAGCATCTGAGACCTCAAAGCCCAGCCCAGCCCCCCAGTGACCCACTTCCTCCAATAAGGCCACTCCCTATGACCAAGCATTCAAACAGTTGAGTCTATAGGGGCCACACCTATTCAAACTACCACAATGTACTTGGAGAGTTTTTGTATGTCCAGGGCAACTGATGGATATCCTAATAGATGGAGCCTGCAATGTTTTTTTTTTTTTTCCAGAGAAGAACATAAGTGGTTTCAGTTATTTATTCAGCATTCATTAATTTCTCCCATGTTGTATGGGCCAGTATATTTGATAAGTGCCTATAAGATGCACAATGCTACCTTAGCGCATCGTTATTGGGTGTAACATGCTCTTCTTCTGAGCGTGGTCACAGCTGCTTAGTGCTTAGTTCAGTAAAGTGGCTGCTTGCTTAAGAAGTGAGTTTCTCTTAAGAGATGGGGTTCCTCTGTGTCCCACTCTCTGTCCTGGAACTCACTCTGTAGACCAGGCCAGCCTGGCTAATAAGTGATGTTTTAATTCTCAAAATTCTAAATTGTTTTTAAGTGTATCTAAGCTTTGGGACTATTAAGTTACTTCCACAATCCTTAAGTTACTTCCACAATCTGAAGAGCAGCCAACACATCTTTTAAGTTTGAGAATGGACACTCTAAATGCCCAGGAGATTGTAAGATAAACCCCATAAACCACACTGAATCAAGCAGCTACAAGACAGGATCCATGTTACTCCAGGATGTGTATTGCATCAGATAAACACCGTAAACCACACTGAATCAAGCCTTTACAAGACAGAATCCATGTTACTTCAGGATGTGCATTGCATCAGATGATATTCAGCAGCAGGGAAGATCTCAAGTCTTTTTAAAACAAATACCTGTTGCTATGTGTCACATGCTCATAGAAGTGCTATTTGAGTCATAACACATTTAATCCTATACCAAGCCCGTGGGTGGAGAGTATTACCATTATCTGTATTGTGTAGACTGGGAAAAGAGGTTAAGCAACCTACCCGAGACTATAAAGCTAGTAAGAGAGGCAGAACTTGAATGTGTGAGGCTTGTTTTTCTAGCTGTTGCTTTCCAGTGTTAAGCAGTTTCCCTACTATCTTAAATACTGCATAGCTCTTTCCTTGCCCAGTGTAGCAGACTGACTACTGCCCGAAACAAGGAGGAATTTTAGGGTGATTGATGAGTGGCATCCAACGTGGGGTTAGGGCAGTATGAGTGAGGCAGACCTCAAATGGTCTCTTTTCAGCAATAGCTAACATTTAATCATCTCTCTACAGTTTTAATACACATAATAATTATATTCACTTATAAGACTTTAGCTTTGAGCAAATACTTTTGCAGTTTCAGTCATTTTAATTTAAATGGATAAACAGCTTTGTTCATGATGTTTTATATACTCCTGTTTTGACTGAAATGATGTATTCTATAGGTACTGCCAGGGCAATAAACCTACAGCCTTGCAGGGTGCATGGCAGCATGCCTTTTGAACTTCTGGATTCTCATATGTTGGCTGTGTAGCTCCAGTGAAGAAAAAACTGAACACAGCTGGGGCCCTTGGCCTCCATGATAGTGGAGCTGGCTAGTGGAAAGAGAAAAAGTCCTCCTGACTGTAAATAATCATCTCCTGTCTTGTCTCTCCAGGTGAACCTTTTTCTCAAGAGGAAATGGAAGAAATGTTGTCTGCTGCAATTGATCCCGAATCAAATTCCCTTAATTACAGGGAGTATGTAGCAATGATGGTGATAGATGAAAATTAAATGCTCCAAAGATTTCTTTTTTCATCTTTTAAGATAACTGTAAAGACTCAGTTTCTAATTGAAAGGATACTCTGAAAAATTGCTTGTCCTAATTAATTTCGTATTTTCTCTTATAATTTCTATATTTAGTGCCTAATGACATAATTAGGTATTTTGTTTTCTAGAGATGATCAATTTAAAAGACAAATTTATTTAGTATGTCCGGATTTATGGAAGGAAAAGCTGATGATTTAAAAGAAATTGAACAATATTGTAACATTAAATGTATTGCTGCTTATTTTTTCACAACTAGGCCAGTGATACCTTGAAATTAATTAAACAGAAAATGACGATTTATCATAGAAAGAGCATCTAAAACTCTCGTGGGGCAGGATGGCCACGGACTGGACGTGAGTGGCAGCGTGGTGATGGCTGTCCTTTAGAGCAGCAGTGAACACTTCAGCCAGCAGAGCATGGAGGAGAGAGACTGCAGTAACCATTAACAATTGATTCTTCTGAATGCCAATTACCAATCTCATTTGACAGTCTAATAACGTTGTGTAAAATTGAAATTTGCTCATCCAGCATGTTGCCATTTATGGAATAGCTAAAGGAGGTGAGATAATTGAATCCAGAGAAAGGAAGACTGAATGAAAACTGATAATGGCAATCCCTTTTTTGCTCTTTAGAATTTTCACCTCTTCAGAATATCTGTCGCAGGAATATTGTCCTGAGTCCTGAGTGTCTTCAGCTTGTTGTTGCCAGAATGCAGTACCTGAAATGGACTGATACCATAAGAAAGAGGTTCATTTAGCTCAGAGTTGAGGATGGTCAGGGTCCAGGCAACATTGTGTAGGCTGAGCGAGGACCACCCTTGCATGCATCTTGCCAAGGTGCAGCAGGCCAGACAGAAACATGTGGTGTAGCAAGCAGGAGCAGAGATCTGGGAGGGAATTTAGGCTTGCTCCTTTTCCAGTGGTCCCCTTACAAGAATTACTTTCCAGGCTAGAGAGGTGGCTCAGTGGGTAAAATATTTGCTGAATATTTTTAGATAATGTGCTGGAGGCTGGAGATAAAAGGTAGATATGCTTCGAATTAATCAAGGTCACAGTTTAGTTAGTGAAGGAGCCTTACAAATCAGTCAGCAACCCCACATTCAGGGTGCTGAATATTGCACAAAGAAGCAGCTGACTCAGCCTGGGTTGGGATGAGGGTGCTTTCTGGCGGACAGACTCAAATAGGTAACGCATGACTTACAAACTCAATAGTTCTTAAAACAGTCATTCTTTGAGTAACTTGCTTCAGAGCACAGAGCATGTCAGCAGGAGGACAGATCAAAACCGGGAGCTGTCCCAAGACACAGGAATCTGGGAATTGAATGTCTGGTGTAAAGATACTTGGGACCTGATGAGAGATGAAAAGATTGGAGTGGGAGACAGGAACCGAATCATAAGAGAAAATGGGCTAATTGGGGTTACACTTTCAGTGTTTGAACATGGACTTTATTATGGAAATCACAAAGAAAAGAGTTGGAGTTGTAAATAGCCTGAGAAATAATTTGAAGGGTCAACACTAGAGGTGAGGAGACCAGCTGGTCAGCTGCTTGGTTGGCAGGAGGAGATGGACTAGGGAAAGTCAAGCACAAAGCCCAAGTTCTGGCTTGAACACTTAGTAAATAATGATAAGAGCCATTCAGGTAAGATACCCAAGGCTCAGGCTAATGGCTTGACTGTGGTCATCTCTAGCTTGAAGAGCTGGTAGAACATAGGAAAATCAATAAATAAGGGGACCTATGCTAGAGACATGGGCTTTAAAGTTGTCCTGGAAAGAAAAATAAAAGATGACCATGGACAGAACTAGGGGAGACATTAAGCTTCAAGGAGGGCAGAAGAGGAGCCTTCAGAGGGCATGGGAAGGAGAAGACTGAGGGGAGGGAAAGCCCGAGGGAAGCCATGGCAGGTGAGACTCTAAAGGAGGCAGGAACCAAGTCAGATTTGGTGATGTGAAGTCATCGATGATGGAGAAATGTCCCTTAGTTTCAGCATCAACATATTCACTGAGAACCTGTCTTGGGGAAGTGCCAGGTAGCAGAGTCCAATGGCTTGTGGAATAGATTGTTGGACAGTGAAGAGAGGAGAGAGAAAGTAGAGGGAGGGAGTTTGGAAGATGTAAATTGTGCATTGTACTGTATGCTTGTCTGTCAAGGGTTGAGACACAGCAGAGTTGCAGAGAACACTTGGGGGCAGGGATCCAGGGCTGCAAAGATCGTGAGCTTGGTAATGGACAGGAACTTATGTGTGTAGTCCCTGCTCAGTGGCCTCCAACTCTATTATTTCTTGTTGTTAAGATGGGGTCTTGCTGTGTTTACAGCGTGTGTGACCCTCCTGCTTCTGCCTCCCTGGTGCTAGGATTCCAAGCCTGAGCCTCTGTACCTAGTTATACTGTCTGCGAATGAGAAGGAAGATAGTACATCCTAGAACTACAGGAGCTGTTACAAATCTGAAGTGTGTTGTGGGAAATGAGAGAGCTGGGAAATAGTCTACAGAAGAATTTTCAAGAAACCCTGGAGGATCTCATCCAGCAACCCAGGCCCAAGAACAAAATATGTAGAGTGTCATAATACATCAAAATGGGTGAAACAGATGCACAAAAGGCCAAGACTGACGAATCAGCAGAGAGGGACAGTGATGGTTGCAGGCTACAGTGGGAGGGAAATCCAGGCTTGCACTGAGGATTGTAAGACTGCAAAGGGCAAACAGCTGCTGTGTGGTCAGATGGCCTGCCAGTCCTGGGAACAGTATGCTCCCCATGCAGTTTGTTGTCACTGTGGTGCTACAGAGCATTTCTTTATGTTATTACTAATTAGTAAGAGCATATAGCACATATACATCTCTCATCATGTGTCAGGCACTATTCTAAGTGCTTTACTTGTATGTACTCATTTAACCCTATTGATGACCCAGTGATATAGTTAGCATTATTCTGAGGGAGTGACAAAGAAGTATGTAGCTATAAGGAACTGTATTAATCAGCCTTTAGAAGTTATGCTGCAATGTCGACTCTTTACCACAACAAAAGTCAGTTTTCATGTTTCTTGTCAGCTGAGACTGTGTTGTCTTATTTTTCTTCACTTCTTTCGTAAGTAGAATGACTATATGTCTCCGTTTGCTGTGGTGGACCCAGCCTGGACCTGCTCTTCCAGTATAATCATTGACATTTCTCCTTTTTACTTTTAGATTGCCTTCATTTGTTTGATTCATATGTTGTCACCTCTTTTAAGAACTAATGAAATTGATGATGAACTCACCCCTTGGGGCTGGGCATATGGCTCAGTGGGTAAGGTGCTTGATGAACAAGCATGAGGGCCTGGGTTCAATCCCCGGCACCCACATCAAAAGCTGGGCACTTAACTTGGCAATGAGGAGGCAGATATGGAAAGACCTCTGGAACTCACTGGCTCACCAGCCTAATTAGTGAACCCCAGATCCAATAAGAGACATTGTCTCAAAAATTAAATGACTCCCACGGCACACCGAAACGACACATTCATGCACACACATGTGCATGCACACCTTTACAGTATGGCTGTGTCACCAACACATATGAATCAGTTCTGGAAAGTTCTGTGAGAGCAATAGTGGTTGTGATGGAAGGTACCCTTCCTTCAATAGTTTCACAAGACAAACTTCTCTAGAACACCTCAGGTTTGCTCTAGGTGAAATCCAAGTGGAAAATTGACATGCCGCTCACTTAGCCAGGCATATTGGGATCCCCACCTGCAGAAGAAATGAGCCTCAAGCATTTAGGTAAGGGCAGGGGACTCGAGGAGGGTGTGGTAACTCCAGGAGTATACACAGCCAGGCTTTGCAATGGCGACACATGACAGACGTGAGAAATGCTCATCAAAGTGGAAGTCTCCCCAGGGGTAAATCATGATGCAGGCTGGCATAACATGCAGTCCCAAAGCTTGCACCAGTGCCTAAAGCACAAAGGTGTGGAGTTGTCTGGAGCACCCAAGATGGCTCCAGGAATGTAACCCTGGCTCTGTTAAGTAAATAGGGTAAGTGCTTCCCATTGTTTGATAGGCAAGAGGAACCTCATTCTCTCACTGCAGGGAAAAGCTCAGAGGGATGGTAGCGAAGATGATGCCTTAACATTGGATCCCTGTTCCCACCCAGAGTGTTAAGAGTTCTGGTTGGTGTTGCACTCCACTACCTGACTTGAAGGCACTTGAAGGTTGGTAGTCTTTGGTTGCCTTTTGGAGCTGTAATTTTTATTTTCAGTATCATTTGTTTTTAAGGTCACCAAAGAATGCAACACAGACAGCAAAGGAAGTTGTGTTTTAGTCCTCAGTTGCAGAATAAATAGCCCAAGGGAGCACTGTTGTCACTGTGCCAGGAGTTAGGGGCAGAGCCTGGTTCAAGCTAGGCGAGGCTTCTACCTTTGAGCTACACTCACAGTGAACACTTTACGCTTTAGGTGGGCATTTGACCTCTTAATACCCCTCCCCATCTGCCCAACTTCTAAACTGAACCACAGTATTATTTTTGTGGCAAGAAGAGCAAGGGGCTCTGGAGAAAGTTTGCTTTTCCTAGGACTTCTGGGCCCTTTGGCTTCTTCAGGATACACTTGCTATCCCCTGCAGCCATGACTGCCTGTGTTCTCACACTTCTAGGCTGGGGAAGCTGTATGACTCAGGGCCTGTGTGTCTAGGGATCACACATTTATCCCACTCTGCCTGTGACTCATTTGGGGCCCAGCACCTGACTTGTTCTGCATCGCACCGTGAAAGTGAGAGAGCCCAGTCTGGGACTTCTCCTTTGCAAGTACCAGTGGTCATGTGTCCAGTGCCTAAGAGAGACAAAAGGACTGTCTGAGATGGCAACCTACGGGAGTGTCACTGGTGGTCAAGGACAGGTCTATTTGCTGTGGACCGGAACAGGTTTCGATCGTTCTCTCCTTTCTGTCTTTCTCCTTTCCTTTCTTTTTCTAACTCCTCCACATAAGAAAGCACTGTTTATACAGACATTTCCTTGGAAATCATCATCATGACAAGGTGTAAATAAACAGCCTCCTGGTTATATACACTCAGGCCTGTTCCAGACTCAGACTGTCTCTAGGATTTCTAAAAGTGCTGCTGCCAGTCACATTCTTCAGAAGCCCCCTGGGGGTGGGTGGGTGTTAGAAAGTAGCTGTGTAGCCAAGGATGATCATATAGATACTCAGAACAATCTCTGGATGTGTAGCCCCTTAATTTATTTGTAATGGACACTGGAGGAGAGGCTTAGACACACTTAAAAGCAAGAACTCTACCTTAGGAAGTGTTACGTGGTACAGATACGGGATTTGGGATTGGCTTTTGCCCTTGCAGAGTGTGTAACTGGTATAGACACTGATATTGCTGAGCTTCTGTGTCTTCACATATGAAGTGGAACGAATTACTATATCGGGCTGATGCGATGATGGATATCATAAAGCGAGATTCTTTAAAAGCTCTAATGGATGGAGGCAGTTATTTATAGAAAACCAGCCAGGCAAGCAGGAAGGGGGCGGGGTAGGGATGGAGACCTGCTGCCTGGGTATGGACAGTCAAAGTGTGGGAAAGTAGGGAGCTGAAAGAAAACTCATCTGTGGGATGAGAGTGGTGCTGATGGAGAGATACCAAGAGGTTTGCTGTCACTGCTCTGTGAATGATCAGCTGTTGTGATTATGTTAAGGACTGAAAGTAGGAGGGTTTAGGAGGCTGTTTTTTTCCTCCTTTATTCCCTCCCTTCCTCTTCTCTGTCTTCTTCCTTCACTCCATTTCTGCATTGCTACCAGTCATAGTGCATTTATAGCAGCATGGGTCATTTCCCTGATCTAACAAGAAAAGACACTCATTTGGGTCTGGGGCCGGGCCGGGGCTGGGGTTGTAGCTCAGTTGGTGGAGTGCTTACCTAACCTGTTAAATCCTGGATTCCATCCCTAGCACTGCGTAAACCAGACTTGGAGGAACATTCTTTCAATCCCGGTACTTGGGGTTGCGGGTAGCTGGGAGATGAGAAGTTCATGGACATCTTTGGTTATGTAGTGAGTTCTGGGCCAGCCTGGGATGCATGAGACCCTCCTGACTTTAGAGAAAAAAAGCACGTAACTCAGGACAGTATATGACTGTCTGGTTCAAATGTCAAATCTATCAGGCTGTTCATTAGGCTTACAACTTCTAAGAAATGAGATTTATTGCTATTTGTAAAATTTAAATATGGGTTAAATATCATGTCACTATTATGTAGCTTTAAAGCACACTAAAGTTTGTTTTTATGTTCCATCTGCTTAGGAGTTAAATGTCTTGCTAGCTGTCATAGCTGTGTTCCAGCTCTGGGTACCCTCTCAGGGCCTGATACTCACGTAGGCAAACTTGTTAATGAACATAAAAGCAAATCTATTTTTGACAGTCTTCTTGATCAAGACTTTTTAACTTCTTTCATTACTGATCAAATATGATTATACTATTATTATTTAACCCTGTGTTGTGGCTGGCAAAGAGCTCACAGGAGTAGATCTATTAGCTTTGACTTGTACCCTGTGCTGCACTCCCAGCAGACACTGCCACTTTCTTGAGCTCTCCTGTGCTTACACTATCAGTTTTGCCTTCCATTCAGGGTTATTTTGTGAGCATCTTAAACCAATTACCTTTTTTTTTTGTTTGGTTTGGTTTGGTCTGGTTTTTCAAGTCAGGATTTCTTTGTGTTGTGCTGCCTGTCCTGGAACTCTTATTTGTAGACCAGGCTGGCCTTAAACTCATAGAGACCTGACTGCCTCCACCTCCTGAGTACTGGGATCAAAGATGTGTGCCACTACGCCTGGCTCAGCCAATTACAAATTCGTGCAGGTTCTTTTTATTAACACCAGGCAAGATCTGTAAATTCTCTATATTATCTAGACACTACAAATTTAGTAGTTATACATCAGTAAGCAAGGTAGAGGATGAGCAGGCCTGTAGACCCCGTGTACCTCCAGGAGAACATCTGCCTGCCTTTCCTCAACATGCATCTCTGGGCCAAAGACCCAGTGAAAATGCCCGTGAGGTGTGATTCTGACATAGAAGGTATATAAATGGAAGCAGCCCAGTGTTCTCTCTCATGTTCCCTTGCAGGTTGGCACATGTCATTGTTTTAGACCCCACAGGTGAATGGATCTTTGGGAGAAACAGTATGACGTTTAAAATGCTCTATAAATGATTAGAGTATTAACACTGTATCATCTCTTCTAAAACTGTCTCCCAAATATGTGTATTGTCTCTATAGACTCTTTAGAATAGCGCTGTAGGCCTGCCAGGGTTCTTAACAGACATGCAGAAGCAAAGAGGGACCTGATGGAAGACTTGAGCAGAGAAAGGGCTGTGCACAGAGCTCCAAGCTTGCACTTGCAGTGGACTAGGTGGGACAGGGCAGGGGCTGACTGGAACCATAGGGTTTTGGAGGGCAAAGCAACAAATAGGAAGCCTGAGCGTCTCAGCCTCATCTAAGTGGAGCTGCCTTTGCAGGCTGTTGCTGCTACATCCTGTGCAGGCCAAGGACAGCCTTGCTCTTCAGCATCCGGCACTGATGGTGGACCTCACCCGAGGATATTGCCACCAACCAACAGTCAACTGAGGGCGGAAAGACTCTAGTAAGAAATCAGAATCTTTGTGGGCAAGAGAAATAATAAATACAACTGTTTACTGCAGATGCAAACCTCTATGTTGTTATGTAATCTGTTTGAAATGAATCCACCATGAACAGTCTTCTTATGTTAATGCATACTCACCTAAAATGTACCTTTTTTTTTCTTTTTGAGTCAGGGTCTCCATGTGTAGCACAGACTAGCTGGGAACTTATGGTTCTCCTGCCTCAGTCTTCTGAGATCTCAGATTATAGGTGTGCACATCATACCTAGTCTCCAGTCCCTTAAAGCTGAATCCTGTCATTCCTGGAGCTTTTCAAAGACCCATGGCATTGTACTGAAGCATCCAATTGGATTGCTCCAGGAGGCACCAAATTTCAACCCCACTGTTTCTTCAGACAAGGACTTCACTGGATCATAGGATCCCATATGATCACCGGAACAAAGGATCCCGCAGGCATAATATTTTGAGCAGAATCCTGATTCAAGAGAGACATTTGTTCCAGAACAGTTACTACCAGAAAGAGGTGGTTAGTCCAAATGAGCCCCCATGGCACAGAAGTGTTGCGAAAACTCATGCGAGAGAATGGGAAATGTAGATGCAAATATGAAGCAAAGAAGGGTCCTGAGCAGAGCAAGGGGCCATCTGCTCCATCAACAGCCCACAGGGTGAAACGTCTCCTCATGGAATCCGTTTGCTCACTCATTGAACATTCACTGAATCCCCACAACATGGCAGGTGCTGGGTTGGGCTCCAGGGACAGACAAGCCTTGTCGCTGAGAGATTGCAGGCTTAGGGAGGGGCAGTAGGAGAAATACACAAGCAGTCGTAGTTACTTGTTTAGCAGCATCAACAAAGGGCTTTGGGATTGGAGCAGCCAGTGGCCAACTTTGCCTGTGGCACAAAGGGCTTCACAAGGGAGGTGACAGATAAGCCACAGGTGTTTCCTGTGCATGTAGGCAATACTGCTGCCAGTTCTGGGTGGGAAGGGAATGTTTCATAATGAAATGGCTTGAGGCTAAGGCTAAAAGAGCTTTATGGTATGGCTTAGGATAAAGAATGAATCTGCCTTGGAGTCCCAGCTATTCCACATAGGGGTTAGATGATCTCTCTCATGATCCATTGGTATCTGTTACCAGCAACAAAATGTCAGAATCACATGTGCCTTGGAAGGTCACTCTGAGCATTAGATAGCTTCACATGGGACTCAGTAAGAGCTGTCAGTCATCACAGGTTGTCCAATACTAATCTGCTAAACAAATGAAACATTTTCTATGCTTTGTAGTTATTTTTCAATTATCTGAGTTCCCGTACAAGTATAGTGTTTCTGGGAATGAAGAAATTCTAAGAACTTAGAACTTTATGAAAAAGGCATTTGTGTAGTTTTCCACTTCATTCATTCATTCAAGACTTATTTAATAATACTCTGTACTAAGAATGTTCTGGTAAACAAAGTCCTTGCCCTTATGGAATGTAAATTCAGGTCAGGAGTCAGATTATATGTAAATCAATGTCACATGAGGATAAATGTGGGTTATTAATATTTATTATTGGTTTATCTTTTAGTTAAACAGCCGTTATTCCTAAACCAGCTGTATACCCAAATCACCACACAGAGACTAGTATTTATTTAATTAACCTAGAGCACAATGCTGGGCAATAGTTACTCCATCTTAAACTTCCAAGCCCACATACTTCCCTACAATTCAGATTTTACCCATTGTACTTGCTTTTAGTCATATCTTAGGTCCAGTTCATCTCTGCTCATGGTTTGAAGTCCCCTCCTGCCGATCTCTGCTCTCCTTCTCCCTCTCACTCGCTTTCTTTTCCTCCCCTCTGGACCAGGATGTCCCATCCTATTCTCTTCGTTGCATTGTTCTATTGACAATACAGAGAACAAATGGTGACATGTTTACACAAACTTGAGACAGGTGATGCTTAGAATGAGCATCACAATGCAATGTCTGGATTGAAACTAGATGGTGGGGTAGAGAAATCAGCATTTGAATGAGAAAGGGTACATTCCACAAGAATATTATTCCAACAGACAAACAATATGGAAAAAATAAAGGTAGGGTGAGATCAGAAATCCTAGCATTTCCTATAGAGATGACATCAAGAGCCCTAAGGAACATGGAGGCCACCCTGGCTGTGGCACCCAAGTAGAGAGAGAAATAAGAGGTTAAGATGGAGAGGCAGGCAGAGGCCAGCTCATGAAGGGTCAGGTAGCCAGGGGAAGAACTTTGCTTCATGTGAAGAGAAGCCACCGGGTAGTGCTGAGCCAGCTCTTGAGCCAGCACAAGCAAGATGGTGTCGCAGTGATTGGTGGGTGTGATGAGACGTGGTAGAATTTGGAAGGTAGAATGGAAAGGATTTCCTGATGGGTTGGACCTTAATGGTGAAAAGGGAGATGAAGGATGACTGCAGTATTTGACAGAGCAATTAGGGTTTGGGGAGAAAATCAAGAGGATGGTTTGGGTGAGTTAATGTGGAGAAGCTAACAATATCCAGGCTGGTGAAAGGTCAGTGTGCAGATGACACTATAGCAAGGATGATCTAAGAAGACCTTGGGGGCAGTGTAAAGTTAGAGACAGGAGGAGAGCTCAGTACAAGAGACACACAGCTAACACATTGACAAGGTAACCCCAGGTCCCACTGTGTTCCATTTCCTGGGCCCTACTGCGTCCCACCCCCAGGCCTACCCAGTGGCTCCATCATTTATTCCTTTTCAGCAATCTCGATTTCCCAAGACAAACTGGGCTTACCTGGATGAGAAAGCACTGCAATTACAGTTCTTAAGCTGTGGTGAGAGCACA